TCCTGAATACCGAACCTACCCCCCCCCCCCCCCCCCATGTCATGGCCTTTGGTTAAAAACATAACCCAAAGTCAATTGCAAAACTCATTATTTTGGATTTCAATGATTTATTCATGATTTATCCTGTAATATTTTTCATGGGTTAAGTCTTAATTCCTAGCTCCTTTCAATGCAGAAAAGTACTGCTTGGAAAATGTCAGAGATGAAAACTTTAAAATATCTGAAATGAAAACAGTTCCGGAAATAAAATGCAGCCATTGAAACCATGCACCGCGAGTGTCTTGAATCTAATACACAATATCGTACAAGTTACATTAAAACATTATCTATGGAAAACATCCTTAATTTGGTATCATATGATTTTTGCCCGTTCACACATACAAGAAATTTTGTCCCGTTTTAAATTAGCCCAGTCACAGTTCTGTTTAAGAATTTATACTGTGTTTTTTAAACTCACCCCATTTTAAATTCACTCACATGTAGTTGTTACCATGACAACAATTGATGGAACATTTCATATATTTTTTCAGCACTCTCCACAAATACAATCATCAACACATTAATTTCATATTCATTTCCATGACCAACACTGACCTAAAAGTCAAATCTCTTTACAGGAGACATAGGGTACATTGGTTGCCATGCACTGGGAATCGTTGCCATGTGTTGATTAAAGACGGAAAAAAATTAAGATTGAACAAAAGTCAGTTTTGCTCAATCACATTTTTCTGACTTAATTTGAATAAGCCTTAATAAGATTACACGAATACACGCCAAAATTACCTTTCTTTGCCTTGTTGCTATGGAGAACCTGTCGTTGCTATGGAGATAAAGAATTCTGCAATATTCAATGATGTGCTAGGGAGACCGAATTTAATTATACCATTTTAAAATTTGTATCTCGTTTATCATAAATAACCGCTCATTTGATTTTTTCCGTAAACTTTTTACAATGTTTCTCATTTTATGCATCAAAAAGCCCATTTTTGTTGCTAGGCAACAGATTCGATTTTCAAAAGAGCCCAAGGATTTGACTTCAAATTCTAAAAGAGAAATACCTCTGCTTTAATGTGAGATGCATGCAACAACTGTATTAATCTGGCCATTTTAAAAATTTGGCCTTGAATATTGCCAAAATCACGAAAAATGCTGAATCAGCAAAACTTGTAAAACATGTGTACCTTCCTATGTCTACCACAGAACTGACTTAGGACCTAAATATTTTTTATTACATTATTAGAACACAATAAATGTGTATCTTTATTACACCCATAAGTAAGAATAATTCTCGTGGTATTTACGTGTTATTTGAAGCCTCAAAGATAGGTGATTTTTTGTCCTTCAACACTGATAAATCCGCCGGTTGCTAAGGAAATTTCTTTGGCTGGGTTTCCATGGTTACCATGACTCAAAACATTTTTCATTTTACATACATTGTTCATACTTCAAAATAAATCTATGAGTGGAAAATCATCATATTCTGAAAACCTTCATGTATCACTTTTTTACAGTTTTGTCTGATTTTTATGTGGACTGGTACTTAAATACAGTATAAAATATATTTACAAGCATCTACAGATAAAATTGAATATAAAGCACTTTCTTTTTTTTTTATTTTGAGTTTCGGTTTTTTTTTGTTTTTTTGTTTTTTTTTTTTTTTTGTAGATATTTAACAACTTTACTGATAAAGATTACAATGATCAGTACTTGTTAAAGGAAAATAGAAGGCAAACAATTTCAAACTCACCATTCCGTTCTTTATGCAATGGATCAATAGAATCTGAAAAAATATAAACATTCTAATATATAATAAAAATGATTCAAACCTTTTTAAACATCTTATTTTTATCACACTTCGATTTAACAATTGTTTTAAGTCTATATAACGGTATCTATGAAGTTTAATATATCGTTGTACAGACGTGCATGGCAGGCACTTAGCAACAGGGGGGCCAGGAGGGGGAGCCTGACCCCCCACTTTTTCCCCAATATTATGTATACTATAATGTAGGAAATGTTCATTGAAAGGCTTGTTGCCCCCCCCCCCCAACTATTAGTGATATAAGAAAATGTAGTATAAAAAGTTGATACTGGAAGTAGTTGGCATTGGAAAAAGGTGCCCCCCAACACCACCATCACCACCACGACGAAATAGGATTTTCGACTGTGGGCAACTTTAATTTTTCCCTTTTTTTTGCTTGTCAACTTTTTCAGGTAACTAAAAAAATTTTTTCTCTGGCTGCCCCCCCCCCCCCCCGACCTTCAAAAACGATGCTCCGCGGCTGTATGGTGTTAATACAAAGGATACATTTTCTTTTAATGTTTTACATGTATCTTGATTAAAATTTAGAGTATAGCAAAGACAGCATTGATAAAATATATATACAACAAAACTTGCTCATTACGAACATGGATATTGCGAATTCACGGATATAACAAAGTTAACTTGGATCTTTATCTATATTAATTTAACGAATTCCTTCTACGGATTTAACAAATTACGGATAGAGCGAAGTAATTAAGTTTATAAGTCCCAGTGACTTCATTATAACCGAGTTTTACTGTATATACTATCGTTCCCTAGGCCATCTTTAAATATTATTTTGTTGCCCCCGATCGACCGACTGGCAAAAGAAAATAAATAGAGTGAATATTTTTAACCTCTAGGGGTGCATGCATTCTGGAAAATAGAATTAAAAAATTAAGCATTAAAATTGAAATATTCAGAGAAAAAAAGGTTTCCACCTATCTATCGACCAATTTTTTCATCCTGTGTCGGGAGAGGGCAAACAAGGGGATGAGATTTGTGTGAGAGAAGAGAATGTTCTGGGACACAAGGTAAAAGCTCGAGAGGAAGCTAATGCAAAACAAGCTTATTGATTCGGTCAGAAAAAAGTTTAAAACCTCTATATCCTATACATTTTCGACGATTATATTACACCATGATCTTTCTCAAGAAATTTTTTTTAAAGTTTAAGATAATTTTAAAGTACGAGGGGTGATCAAAAAGTTCCAGGCGGTCACGTGACATGCCCTGAAGCATTCTGTTCATAGACGCTAAAATAATTTTACGAGTCTTATGTTTCTTACCATGCAAGTTGATTTTTATAACAAGAACGGTCCATTTGTCAGAAATGACCAAATCCCGGAGATCGGATGGTTGGATAATGATATCTTTTCCCAGAAAGAACATGGTGACCATCACAACCCGAGATCTTTTTCTTAGGAACATCATTTATCAAATATGGATATAGTTGTAGGGACCTTCTTTTGATCATATTATGTTAAAAGTCAAAATAAAAAGATATTTTAGAGATTTAATAATGATATTATTGTTCAAATATTCAACCATTTTTTAGCTGTACCTTCGCGATCTATTATTAAAAATTGCCTAACAAAGGACACATACCGGTATCGTCCCCAGATTGCTTTCGCTAGGGGTACAAAACAAACTCACTTTTAACCATCTACCCCCCTTCACTAAAACAATCAATCCAATTTATGATTGAACGTCTGGAAAGTATATTGTCTTCATAAACCTTGTACAAATTATTATAAGATACTTCAAAGGAATTTCCAAGTTATACGTTGAACTTTACAGCCGTTCGTTGCTCAGGTAAGACTGAGACAACCATTTTTCGTCACGAGTAACCTACATATTGACGTCATTTTCACATTGTGACGTCACAATGATGGAGAAAATCATTACTTTTCATATGCTATTTATAGAACATAACGTGCATGACTATAGGTTTGTCAAATTTCATTCTGATCTGAATCGTGGTTTTGATACATGTAATATATACTAGATAGTTCGCGAACTTTTTGTTTACCCCTCGTACAGATGCTAAAGATTTCTTGAATTGAACAAGGAAAAGATTCAAAAGAAGAGAGGTTGGGAGGAAAGAGAGGGGGAGGAAGGGGAATATAACTTGCATATTTACCAACCCCAAAAATCAGAGGTAAGATTAGTCCGAAATATCTTATCATATCATTTCCCTGGCTTTTACATGATTTTGATATTTTTTCCTGGCACGTAAAATATCAAAAATTGTGAAAACGTAAGATATTTCGGGCTAAGGTAAGACTTAACATGCACAGTGAAAATGACCACATACAAATCTGTGAAAATAAAGAAATAATCATTTACCTGGATTCAGATATGCCTCATATATTTTTGCTGGAACGTCAATCTCTTTTTGTGCGTCGATATAAACGTAAGACTTCAAAAAGGGGGGTAAATCTTTTCCCAAAGGCCGAAGAAGTAGCGGAATCACGTTAACATCGGAAAAACCCGTGAAAGACAATTGAGCTGCTTCGCGTGCTTCAGTCACGCACCAGTGACTCTGTAAATAAGCTGGACTCAAAATGATGAGTACTTTGACACTTTTGCGCATATTGTCTGCAATGTTGTCGTCAATATTTTTCCCGGGCTGGAAATCCCGCTCAAAGTTCATACATTTCATATGAAACCTCTGCTCCATACACCCACAGATTTCGTTTGCATCATCTCTATCCTCTGAGCTATAAGATATAAATAAATGGTACTTCTTGTCCGCCTGCAAAGGTAAAACTCTTTGTTCACTGTAGTCTTCATTCTGTACAGATTGTGAAATTAATTCTTCAGACTCGAGGCAATTCAAATTCTTCTCTAGATCCAGATGTGGTATAGGATTAGACTGTTCAATTTCAGATTCACTTTCAGATAAGCCATCACCAACGTTGTTCGAGAGCAGAGGCAATCTATCTGCTGCCATGATGTCTTTTTTAAGTGCAGTGAAATTACGGAATCCAGGTTGTGTGTTCACATGTATTTTTTAAGACTTGTTGGAGTTTGGTCTGTAGTTAAAACCTCCTAAGGTCCTTCATGTTAGACGTTTATGCAGTAGTTATCATTTTTTGTCTTTATTACATGCTTTTTTGAGTAAAAATCATAACATTTCCTGCTACATGTTGCTTAAATAACCTTCTTCCAGAAAATGAAAATTATTTCGCTTAAAGGACACCATACACTTGTTTGTTAACTTGATCGCTACAGCACCATGCAAAACGTCATAAAGTATTTAGTTTATTTGTTCTATATATCGACTTATTTTTTGCCTTCCACACAAGTAAGTATTTTTTTTAGTAAATTCATATGCTTTCTGTGGCAATTTCAACGGACGTGCAGTTACTTATTATTAATAAGTGTATTCATTTTGTTGGTCATAAGCGAATACTATTTTTAAATCTAGAAAATGGCTAGCCAAAAATAGATGGAAATTTACGGGAGCTATTTAAATTCTAGTACTTTGCTGTCTGTCAGATAATGTTTATTATACTGTTAGGCCTATAGACGTGTTCAAATCTCTACAGTTTCTTAAATTCTTTGTTTATTTTCATATTGCTGTCCTTTTGTTGTTTTTTAAAGGTTTTCAAAAAATCATTTTAATAGATTTTTGTTTGACAAAAAGTATGAAAAAAAGAGCAGACCTGAGGAATTTTGACTGTTAAAACATGTAGGTTTAGAGAAGTTTAAAGGAAGTTTGAATGAGAGCAGATTTTAATTAATACAACATATCTCTTTGCAAAAGACCCCAGAGCACAGACATTTTTAGCTCACCTGAGCCGAAGGCTCAAGTGAGCTTTTCTGATCACATTTTGTCCGGCGTCCGTCTGTCCGTCTGTCTGTAAACTTTTCACATTTTCGACTTCTTCTCAAGAACCGCTGGGCCAATGTCAACCAAACTTGCCACAAAGTATCCTTGGGTGAAGGGGATTCAAGTTTGTTCAAATGAAGGGCCACGCCCTTATTCAAGGGGAGACAATTGGGAATTAATGAAAATTTAGTGGTATATTTTAAAAATCTTCTTCTCAAAAACCACTGTGCCAGGAAAGATGAAACTTATGGGGAAACATCCTCAGGTAGTGTAGATTCAAGTTTGTTCAAATCATGACCCCCGGGGGTAGGGCGGGGCCACAATGGCCGACCAAAGTTTTACATAGAAATATATAGGAAAATTCTTTAAAAATCTTCTTCTCAAGAATGACAAAGCCATAATTCATCAGATTTATAGAAAGCATGCTCAGGTAGTGTAGATTCAAATTTGTTCAAATCATGACCCCCGGGGGTAGGGCGGGGCCAAAATGGCCGACCAATGTTTTACATAGAAATATATAGGAAAATTCTTTAAAAATCTTCTTCTCAATTATGACAAAGCCATTATTCATCATATTTATATGGAAACATGCCCAGGTAGTGTAGATTCAAGTTTGTTCAAATCATGACCCCCGGGGGTAGGGCGGGGCCAAAATGGCTGACCAAAGTTTTACATAGTTATATATAGGAAAATTCTTTAAAAATCTTCTTCTCAAGAATGACAAAGCCATAATTGATCATATTTATATGGAAGCATGCTCAGGTAGTGTAGATTCAAGTTTGTTCAAATCATGACCCCCGGGGGTAGGGCGGGGCCAAAATGGCCGACCAATGTTTTACATAGAAATATATAGGAAAATTCTTTAAAAATCTTCTTCTCAAGAATGACAAAGCCATAATTCATCATATTTATATGGAAGCATGCTCAGGTAGTGTAGATTCAAGTTTGTTCAAATCATGACCCCCGGGGGTAGGGCGGGGCCAAAATGGCCGACCAATGTTTTACATAGAAATATATAGGAAAATTCTTTAAAAATCTTCTTCTCAAGAATGACAAAGCCATAATTCATCATATTTATATGGAAGCATGCTCAGGTAGTGTAGATTCAAGTTTGTTCAAATCATGACCCCCGGGGGTAGGGCGGGGCCAAAATGGCCGACCAATGTTTTACATAGAAATATATAGGAAAATTCTTTAAAAATCTTCTTCTCAAGAATGACAAAGCCATAATTCATCATATTTATATGGAAGCATGCTCAGGTAGTGTAGATTCAAGTTTGTTCAAATCATGCCCCCCGGGGGTAGGGCGGGGCCAAAATGGCCGACCAAGGTTTTACATAGAGATATATAGGAAAATTCTTTAAAAATCTTCTTCTCAAGAATGACAAAGCCATTATTCATCATATTTATATGGAAGCATGTTCAGGTAGTGTAGATTCAAGTTTGTTCAAATCATGACCCCCGGGGGTAGGGCAGGACCAAAATGGCCGACTAAAGTTTTACATAGAAATATATAGGAAAATTCTTTAAAAATCTTCTTCTCAATCATTTTCTAGAAAATAGCAAATCCATGATTGCTCATGGGACTACTTTTGGATTTAAACTTTACAATGAAAAGCCATTTTATACTAGTCCTACCCTTGGTGCTCAGGTGACCGATGTGGCCCATGGGCCTCTTGTTTATCTTACCAATGTTGGAATAATAACACGTGTATATTGAATTTAACCGAGCATGTATGTAGTCATTTTTGCTTTTGGAGAAAACGCAGTGGAAAATTGTTTGATACCATCTGCCAGTTCGTTAAGTAACCAAATTTTCCCCCTGCAAATTCGGGTATAGCACGCTTGCCTTTTTGTATTTCTTCTATGTAAACTGGTCAAAACATGCCTCTCCGACTGGAAGAAACGTTTCATACCATTATATCCCTGATAGAGTGGCTTCAAAATATATTCAAAATATCATGAAAAAATTCATTTTGAAGAAAGGAAAATAACTTTTTGAGACTTAATTTTTTCACTTAGTTAGACGACGGTAAGTAGCAATTAAAATGTATGTCAACGTTTATGAAACCCTTTTTTAAAATCACAATCCTTAATGATACATGTAATTTTACTGAAATTGGCAACTCTATTGGGGAAAAAACTTTCCACAGTTTATCATGTGCTTTAAAAACTATATTTTACTTCGTTTATAGTATAACAAAAAGTGTTTGTAAAACTTCTTTGAGCTCTTCTACATCCGCAAACGTTGTTTAATCTTGCTTTTCAACAGATTGACATAAACTTACTCAGTTTATTTAATAAAGGAACAAGATGTCAGATGCCTTCCAACAGAAGTAATTGTTCGAGTAGGAAACAACTGGAATTGGCATTATACATGTAAAAGAGCGTGTCCACCAAACCAGTATGTATACAGAAAACATTGCTACAACATTTGTCCATCGCATACTATTGCTAAAGACAATGGATTTATCAAGTTCTGTGTCAGTGATCTAGAACACTTCCATTGCCCAAGGTCTATATGCCAGAAAGAATATCCGTATTGTTTCGACGGAAATTGTCTTGATTCGTGTCCTGAATACACAGTTGGATTCAATAGTTCATGTGTTATGTCATGTCCGTCTGAAGCAAAATATATTACGGCGTTTTCTTGTGAAGGGGTGTGCTATTCTGGAAACAAATCTTGTTCATCGAAGTGTCCGTTTTCGCATCCATTTCAGTTTCGTTCAACCCATCTTTATCATTGTCTAAAAGAGTGTCCATCTTTTACCATACAAAATTCCAGCAAATGCGAATTATCTTGCCCCAGTGATCGCCCTTTTCTCTACAACAAAACTTGTCAAGCCACCTGTCCCTCTTCAAGTCCTTTTACTTCTCTCAGAACTACAGAATTCAATAAAATTTTTATATGCTCCCAAAGTTGCCATGAAATGATGGCATCTTATAAAAATGTATGCGTTTCTATTTGTCCCAGCAGATCACCTCTTGAATATCGTGGAAAATGTGTCGCATATTGTCAGAAAGATCGCCCATTTACTAATACAAAACCAGAAAAAAAGGCATCTATATTTTATCAGCAGTGTGTTGCGAAATGTCCATCCGATAAATTTCTCTGGATCAAGAATAAAGAATGTGTGACTGATTGCCCTGACAACACTTTACTATTCAATAACACCTGTGTCGAGGTATGTCCACAAACATTTCCTTTAAACTACACAAAGTTGGAACATGGAAAACATGAACATATATGTGTAAAAAGGTGTCCAAGAAATACTTACCGATACAACTCTTTCTGCTTTGATCAATGTCCATCTTACTTGAAATATTTCCATTCAAACTGTACATCAGAATGTCCAAAAACGTACCCTTACACTATATTGGACAATGCTACTTGTGTTCAATTATGTCCAGATCCTTATGTTTATGATGGAAAAATGTGCGATAAAAAGTGTCCAAAGGACCACGTCTACATCGAGAACCAGCAATGTGTAAGCGTGTGTTCAAATACCTCAGCCCTTCAGAGACGAACAAAACAAGGCATAGTCTGCTTGAATTCGTCTACCTGCCCTAATGATACAGTCCTGATGGAAAACACGACCCACTGTATAGGGAAGTGTCCAAAGAGTATGATAATGATTAACGATATCTGCACAAACCGCACATCATGTCCCAACTCTACCTATGTAGAGAATTCTACACTGGGGACAATGTGTACAAAGAAATGTTCCAGTAATTTATATCTGGATGGTAACCAATGTGTTCACACGTGTCCTTTCTCTAAAGTAATAGTAGAACACAACTGTAGTAACGATTGTCCAACTTCCAAGCCATATCGTTTTGTTAATACCAGTCATTATGACAATCCTGTGACGGTTTGTGTGTCGGTCTGTCCTAGAGATTACGTCATCTACCAGAAAAAATGTATCTTGGACGACGACTGTTCGTTTTACCTATACGAGGGTCGCTGTTACGAGGTATGTCCGAAAAATACCGCACCTGATCCCACGTACATCAGTCCTATGGCGTGTATGAGTCAACAATCTAAACCCTCTCTACCACTAGGGGTGATTAGCTTCGTTCTTGCAGTTCTATTTCTGATAGGGGCTTGCATCTATTGCTGTTATAAAGGACGAGACAAACGTCAAAAGAGTTCATCTCAAAGGAATTGGGTGAGTGTTTTAACCTCTTATTATAATTTTATTTTAAGCAGCTTGAGGAATAAATAAAAAAGAGTGATTATTTTGAATGAAAATATTCAAATTTTAGTTAATTTTAAAAATTAGATGATAATAACATGTCAGTTATACTTTTTTATTTTTTTTTTCAGGATGATTCACAAAATTTAATTGAAGACGCAGAGCCAAGACCAATTTAGCACCATTTTTCTATATACAACACTTACATGTTCTTATACAAAGAACGAGGCATGGTTTCTATACAAATCTTGCCCTGTGATTTTCTGGGGAAAAAAAACTGGTGTTAAAGATGAAACTAATGCTCTCTGAATCATTGAAATTCCATGCAGAGAAATCATACAAATCATTTTTCTCACTCGTGTTTTTGAATGCTAATTGTGACGTCATAAACGTATACATTTTCCCGTATTTTCTTCAAAAGTTGCAGAAGACACCAATTTTCAATGAAATTTTCTTTCAGAAAATATTGTCCACAGGCATCGCCCACAAAGATTTTAAGATATATGAATTGTTATTGTTTTTTGCACAACATAGCAAAATATCAAAGTGGGCGATAGCTGTGGACACTATTTTCTATAGTAAAATTACCCCTGAAATTGGCTAGTTTGAGCCTTTTTCTGTTAAAAATACAGAAATGCATCACATTTATGATGTCATATTTGCAGAATGGTAATTCTTTGTGCCACATTCTTTTCTGATTTATCGAAGTCATATACTTAACTAATATTTAAGCCAGTTTCAAAACTTTTTGATGACATTACATTTTTAGGGCACAATAAAGCTAAAATCATACCTTCTTCTTTATTGTGTATGTAGGCCTTTTATAGGCTCATAAAATCTTAACATAGAAACATGTTTACAACATAATTCTTGAGGACGGATATAAGCTTTTTCGCAATTGATTTATTCAAACAAAAATATAATGACCTACCTGAAAAACCTTATTTTAAAACAAGCTTTGAACATTTAAAAATATTTGATAAAGATGTTAAAAGGGCTGGGTGGTTGTGGCCATTTTCAGATTATTTAGATCTCATTCTGAAGAACAGCTGCATATGAATATAATTGTTTAAAAATGATCAAATTTTTATAACTAAAATGTTTGAAAAATTTCTCTTTGCCAAGTGAAAGTTGATAGGTTAACATATCAGGTCTAACATAAAGTTGAATCTGATGGTTAATTTGTTAACCCCAGCCTCATTACAAAGAGTTGCAAGCGACTCGTTTATAGCTGTTAAAATATGTACATAGAGTCAATACTGTATGTCTTCCACATTTTCTACTCGAAAACAATGCGGAAAAAACAAAGCACACCCTGGCGTCATCTGCAAGCAGATAGTGAAAACTTATAGAGTTAAATAAACAGAGGTCTTAAACTATCATATTCATCTTTATAGTATGTGTGGAGTATCTGTGTTGAAAAGTGCTCTTGTTATCTTGTAGCATAATGGTATTGACCAATGATTTGTTGGGTAGATGCATTTTGTGTTTACAAAATTGACACATGCATTTTGCATACTCCATTGATCATTAAGGATAGAACAGAAAATGCATTTGAAATGAATTTTTGTAAAACCTTTTATATATATATATATATATATATATATATATATATATATATATATATTCTTTAAAAATGGAATACATGTGTATATTAAACTATTTCTTTCATTAATCTTGCTAATGGTATAGTTTCCTTATGAAATCTATGAGAATTATCATTCGTGTTTTATGAAGAAATTTTGTTATGTAAAAATTGTGAGCTTTCTTTCCTTATTGCAATAAAATTATTCATATTTCATTAGTTTAAACAAAATTGATATTGTTGTCTCTATATGTCATGTTGACATAGTCCTCCATCATCTCACACAAACAGGCTCTGTAGTTTCTAGTGCGGTGACGATTTGATACACTCTCAGGTACACTTATACAATTTATCAAGCCATTTATCTTCTGAACTTCTTGTAATTTCTGTGCAATTAAGAGTTTGGCTGTTTCCTGGGAATTAACATTTTGAAATGAAAAATTACACATTTTCGTATATATTTATCTTGCATTTGGTTTTTAAGGCTTATCATTAAAAAATGACTAGAATTGTACATGTAGGACATTAACGTATCTTCAATAAGAAAAATATTATCAGCGTTAACAAACAAGAAAAAAGTACTAATATGAAAATGACTGATATTTCACGCATTCAAATATCATATCAAATATTAAAGTAGGTATTGAAATAATCTATAATTTACCTCATTGGTATTAGAGTACACTGTTGGTCTTATTTTTTTTTAGCAAAGATGACAAATATTTCTTTAAAATTATGCTATCTTGGATAAAAATTAATATGATAAAATTATGTATATTGACAATATTTATGAAATTGTTAAAATGTTAAATGAAAATAATTTTCTTCCTCGCATTCAGAAACATCATATCTAAATATGTAAAGCTGATAAATACGTAAGGAAAATGAAAGTAAAATTTTAGAAAAGTATAAGAGGGTTTAGCTGTATCTCCCTCTATCTTCAAAAGCGACATTGACATAATAGCAAACTTGAAACAGACAAAAAGCTCAAAACACCGAGGTAAAAAAGTACAAACGTATTTAAGTGGAAACAACTGGGATTGGCATTATAAATGTCAAAGAGCGTGTCCAACAAACCAGTATGTATACAGAAAACATTGCTACAACATTTGTCCATCGCACACTGTAGCGAAAGACAATGGATTCATCAAGTTCTGTATCATCGACCTAGAACACTTCCATTGCCCCAACAAAAAAAAGGTAAATTTGAAGGCGGTGCTTATTATCTCGGGCTTTAACCATCAGATACAACTTTATGTTAGACATGATATGTTAAGCTATCAACTTTCAATTGGCAAAGAGAAATTTAATTTCATACATTTTAGTTATAAAGATTTGATCATCTTTAAAGTAATTTTATATTCATATGCAGCTCGATCTAAATATTCTGAAAATGGCCACAACCACCCAGCCCTTTTAACATATATATCAAATATTTTTAAATGTTCAAAACTTGTTTTGAAATAGAGGTTTTTCGATAGGTCATTACATTTTTGTTTGAATAAATCAATTGCGAAAAAGCTTATATCCGTCCTCATAAGTTATGTTGTAAACATGTTTCTATGTTAGGATTTTATGAGCCTATCAAAGGCCCATATACACAATAAATTATAAAATTCACAGTTTGTATTATTAAACAGCATTAAAATACATTGTTATATACAATTTTTCTCTATACACACTAAAACATAATTTATAAGATTGTAAATGAATGTAGATATCCATGTGCTGTTAAAACGTTCTTCCTAAAATTAACTAAAATAAAAAATAAATTCTATGACAACTGAAATGTCATAAGCTTTTCCATCGTCATCTTTCCTTATTTATGTGCTAATATCCCGCCTTTACCTGCATTTTGTGTTAAAACATCCCACTTATTCGACACTCTAAAGCCTTTTAAATCATATTTTAACTGATACAGGCTACTGACAGAAACGGTAATGTTCTAGGCATTTCAACGATCTATTTTATAGACAACTTTGCAAATTTTATGGCCGTTAAATACTATGTTAATAAATATAAACTATCATCATTGTTTATTTTTTTCAAACCAATCGTGACATTTTTTCTGCTAAACTTTACTACGGAATTTTCTATTACCAGGGTGCAATGCAGGTGTGACCGGTTGTCAGCAATGCTTATTCATCCTAGGCACCTGGAATGAGATTTCTTTTATTTTCTTGGGGAACTTTTTACGCCCTGTCTGCAGAGTTTTATTGTTTGTTGATTTTTTGAAAGATAAATCCCTTTTTGTTACCTCTTCCTTTCTCACTGTAATGCAATGAAAGATAAAAATTTAATACATTATTTTTAAATTTGACAATGCGGTAAAAAACAAAGTACACCCTGGCGTCATCTGCAAGCAAATGGTGAAAACTTATAGAGTATTTGGTTAAATCAACAAAGGTCTTGAACTATCATCTTCATCATTATAGTATATGTGAAGTATCTGTGTTGAAAAGTGCTCTTGTTATCTTGTAGCATAGCATAATGGTATTGACAAACGATTTGATGGGCAGATGCACCTTTTGTTTACTAAAATGGCACATGCATTTTGTTGCATACTCTATTGAACATAAAGGATAGATCACTAAATACATTTGAAATGAATACATGTGTTAAACCTTTTTTATATACACTCTTTAAAAATGAATACAGTCATGTGTATATTAAACTATTTCTTTCATTAATCATGCTAATGGTATAGTTTCCTAATGAAATCTATAAGAATTATCATTGGTGTTTTATTAAGACATTTTGTTATGTAAAAATTGTGAGCTTTCGTTCATTATTGCAAAAAAGTTCATAATTCATAAGTTTAAACAACAATGATATTGTTGTCTTAATATGTCGTATGCTAACATAGTCCTCCATCATCTCACACAAACAGGCTCTGTAGTTTCTTGTTCGATGACGATTTGATACACTCTCAGGTAAACTTGTCCAATTTATCAAGCCATTTATCTTCTGAACTTCTTGTAAGAACTACGAACTCTAATTCTTGATTACCGCCTACATTTTGCACCCATTAAATTCAATATTAATGGCAATTTGGCCATTAAATCTTTGTTTAATATAAAGAACAGTTCAATGGTAATTGATTAATCATTTTAATTCCAGCGCTAGATAGTAAATTATCATTAATTCCAGCTTTGAAAAAAGGGGGGTAGACGATATTTTTTAGAGAAATCGAACTTTCAAGAATCACCATAGTTTAAAATAGTCTTAAATATGATACAATGTATCTCATATCTTTTTTTTATGTTTTACACAAATAAATAAAACATAAATAAATTAATAAAATAAAATTATTTAACTGTAAATAGCTTTAAAATTGGTGAAAAATCAGAATTTTTTTCGTTTTTTGTCTATAAACACATGTTCCCCCCGTGAAACACAAAAAAGTTTGGCATAAAATTGTAAAATGACAGTCCATGTTACCTGTAAAAAGGAATTTTTGTTTCACAGGGGGGAGGGGGGGAGGTTTTAAAAATATTTTCCGTTTTCCGTTGATTTCTATAGTGAAAAACACAAGTTTTACCAAAATTATAGAGTTATCTCTCTTTGATATCCCAAATAAGTAACGTTTTATGAAAATTCATATAAATATCTATAAAAATTTTGAAAATCATTCGAATATGTTAATTTTTGAGAATTGACTTAGAGGTAGGCGGGAGAACAATACTATCGTTCGTAGTTCTTTCTGTGCAATTAAGAGTTTGGCTGTTTCCTGGGAAAAATCACTTAACATTTTGAAATGAAAAATTACACAATTTTCGTATATATTTATCTTGCATTTGGTTTTTTATGGCTTATCATTAAAAAATGACTAGAATTGTACATGTAGGACATTAACATATCTTCAATAAGAAAAATATTATCAGCGTTAATTAAAGGTACTTGGACACAGATTTGAAGTTAATATTTTCTCCATGATATCACGAATTATGTATTCTAATAGCATTTAACACAAAAATTAATTAAAAATCTTATTTCATTTAAAAGTTATTAAAACTTCAATTTTTTTTGGCGGGTTTGATTGACTCATCCTGGCACTTTCACATATCTAACTTTATTCTTAATCCTTCAGAAAAGTGGCACTCTTGTTGTGTATTAATGAGAAATATTAAAACTTTAATCCAGAAAAATAATTTTATTCAGAATAGAAATGTTAGAAAACAAAACACCTTCACAAGTATCGTCATTCCGAGCTAAGTCTTGTGTGCAAATCGATCCCACTCTTGTTATGTACACATTTTTTGTAAACAAGGCACGAGCTCTGTTTTTATTTATGTTTAGATTTCACCGGGTGCGTTATGAATCGTCAAAGTCTGCTTGCCACAACTGCACGGACTGACAATATACCCCGGTATTGTGTGTTTGTTTTGCTTTCGAACATGTCTACTCTGAATTTTCTGAATCATAGTATCAATATTTTGCATTCATACACAACAAGATTGCCACTTTTCTTAAGTATTAAAAGTAAAATTAAAATTTGTGAAATTGTAAGGATGTGTCAATCAAACCCGCCAAAAAAATTAAAGTTTTAATAACTTTAAAATGAAATAAGATTTTTAAGTAATTTTTGTGTCAAATGCTATTAAAATATGAACTTCGTAATATCATAGAGAAAAAAAAACAGAAAATATTAACTTCAAATCTGTGTCCAAGTACCTTTAACAAGCAAGAAAAAAGTGCTAATATGAAAATGACTGATATTCACGCATTCAAATATATCAAATATTAAAGAAGGTATTGAAATAATCTATAATTCACCTCATTGGTATAAGAGTCCACTGGTGGTCTTATTTCTTTTAGCAAAGATGACAAATATTTCTTTAAAAGTATGCTATCTCGAATAAAAATTAATATGATAAAATTATGTATATTGACAATATTTATGAAATTGTTAAAAGGTTCAATGAAAATAATTTTCTTTCCTCGCATTCAAAAACATTAAACCTAAACATGAAGAGATGAAATATACATAAGGGAAATGAAAGTAAAATTTTAGAAAAGTCTAAGGGGGTTTAGCTCTATCTCCCTCTATCTGCAAAAGCGACTTTGGAATAATCTCAAACTTGAAACAGGCAAAAAGCTCAAACACTTAGGTAAAAAACTGCAAACGTATTTAAGTGGAAACAACTGGGATTGGCATTATACACGTCAAAGAGTGTGTCCAACAAACCAGTATGAATATAGAAAACATTATTACATCACGTGTCCATCGCACACTGTAGCTAAAGACAATGGATTTATCAAGTTCTGTATCAGCGAGCTAAGATACTTCCATTGCCAAAGGTCTATATGCCAGAAAGAATACCCGTATTGTTTCGACGGAAATTGCCTTGATTCATGTCCTGAATATACAGTTGGATTCAATAGTTCATGTGCAATGTCATGTACGTCAGAAGCAAAGTATATTACGGTGTTTTCTTGTGAAGGTGTGTGATATTCTGGAAACTAATCTTGCTCATCGAGATGTCCGTTTTCCCACCCTTTTCAGTTATGATTGACCCATTATCATCATTGTCTAAAAGAGTGTCCATCTTACAACCGAAGTAAGTTGGCTTCACCACGACAGGATAGTTTTTTTTCGGCCAGCCAGTTCTCTTAGCCTTCTACAGGCTTCTCGGTTCCTGAAAAGTCTTGATAACAGACCTATATGTAGATTTGGGCACTTTCAACATCATTGCAATCACACTAATCTTTAATCCATCGTTTTTTTATGTTACAATTACTTCTTTCTTGTCCGGTGACAATTCTTTAGACTTTCGACCCATCTTTGTTTACACTCAAATATGACGATACAATTTACTCAAGCAGATGATTTTTTATTTGCCATATATCCGGAAATTTATTCCAATTTCGGGGATCGTCTTAAAACTAAATTTCATTCAGTATTAACGTCATAACATTCATTTTTCTGAACGAAGGACAGCAACTCTTAGAACGCGACCGTCATTTTCCGCGAATACTTTTGCAATAGTTAATGAAACAAGAATATCAGCAGTCCCATTTAAAGTCATCATTCTGTAAGATCTATGGTCGATACAATTACTTTGTCACCAAATACAATTTATCATTGATCGAGTCAAATGTTGACTGATGTTTTCATAGCAATTGTTAGTTCATTAGTTATACGATGAATTGACGACGGGTTTCCCATTATTCCCTGATCATTACAAGGAGCACACAACGGGTTTGAACGATCGGTATAGGACGCTCACTCCTTCCTATCATCTGATTCTACCCCTGATGTTTTGGAGGTCCGTGTTTGCTGTGCTCTTATTTAATATTGTTTTATGGACGTTTGATCTTGAATACTGTTCGTTATCTCCATATATTTAATTTAAGAATTAGCCAGTTTGAAAGCAATCGTTTCAGTTAGACTATCTAAATTCGGAGTACTTTTTTTTAATCATATTAACCTCCTGACAAATTAAAAAAATGACAAATCTTAAATGAGATTTGCACACTAAAAAAAGATTTGTTCCTATTCAAATTCTTTTCTTCTTACATTACTTTCCAGATATTTTTATCCAACAATTTTTCAAACAGATACATAAGTTTAGATAAAAGACAAAACGGAATCTATGTTTATTTCCTTGTATTACAGCGTTTTTGCACGTTACAGAAATTGCACTCAAAATTCATGTAAATTTTCTGACGTGAAATGAACTCAATGTGTCACTTATGTCAATATACACTGTATATTACGATAAACAAATGAAAAAGTAATGGTAATAAGTAAAGAAAATGTCTTTTGTTGGCTAGAATTTCAAAAGTTTTTTAACTGATAAGTAAAATGTCAAGCACAGTCTTTAATGGTTGGGCGCGGACTAGAATTATGAGATTATCCAGGTTCTTCAAACTAAATTTAGACCTCTATAGTCCCTCTATTGCTCCCCCTATTTTCTTTGTTGATGTTATCCTCTACCATTTCACACAGACAAGCTCTGTCGTTCCTGGTTCTATGACGTTTACTGGCACTCTCCGGTAAAAAAGACCAGTTTATTAAGCCATTTCTCTGCTGCATATCTTCCAGCTTTCTCTCAATCAAGTTATCTGCAGTTGTCTAAAACACAAAACTTAACGAAATTACTTTATGTTCTACAAAAACTTTGAAAGTGAAAGAAATATATTAATTTGTGTTAAATATTGAAAAGAAAAATTATCATGTACCTCTAAATCCTTTTCACTCATTGTCGGACTCTTTTTCTTCAGCATTAGACAAATGTTATTCTGCAAGTAGTGTGTAACGTAAGTTTTGAGGCAAAGATTGTTTTTAAATCGGATGATCTATAATTATAAAGTGCATCTGTTTTACTTACTCTGCATTCAGTGATATCGTACTTAAAAATGTTCAGCTGATCAGATATGTAAGGGAAAAAATGAAAAGGAAGGACGAACATATATATAATATGCCAGGGCATCAACGAACATATATATAATATGCCAGGGCATCAACGATTGATAGTTGGAAACGTAGGATAATTTGATCAAACCCGTTATGCATATTAATTTATCCCACGTTTTCTACAATGATTGATGTCCCTAGCATACTCTACTAACTAGAGAGTGATTCCTAATATTCCCATTTCATTGCTGTGAAATACATTGTAAATTTTGATTTAAAAATGTTGTTTAAGAGATTTAAATTCACATGGTCTCTCCCATTTTAATTTCAAATGTCCCTGAATACTGACGACAGAAATAGTCGCATAGAAAGTCGCAAGATATTTACATGCATATTTGCATTTCGGTAATATTAAAGAGTTTTTATACAGAGAAAACAAAGAGAAATTGAAATATATAAACATGTACTCTAAAAACTTATCAAGGATACAGTGGGTTTGGATACGATGCTGTCATCATAGAAGATCAAACATTTACTTTTCTGGTAGAACTTTACATTAAGTTGAATCACGGTGATGTGAATAGATGACGATAGCTACAAAATTATACAGAGAGTATTATTCATCAAATACATTTAAAGGAGATGGGCGAACAAAGCGTGCAAAATGATTATATATAGTAAAATTTAGATTTAACAGACTGGTTGTAAGTTGATATAAAGATCTATACTATTTACAAGAATTTTGTCGTTTCTTTATGTATAAGTCATATATTAATTTATGAATTTAGTATCTAGTACAAAAATTATTCGTTGATTTATTTTATAAAGTTCGTACTCTTGAGGTTCGAACTGAAAGCAATATCTTTATTATAATAGATCGAATTATCTTTGATTTGATGTTAATTTAACACTTGAAATATTAAAATTTTAAACAAGTTAACGACAGCTAGAAATTAAAATACTCACTTTTTTTCTGCAGATATACATAAAACACAGTGAACACGGGCAAACCAAAGCGACAAGACAAGACCCAAAGATACTCAGGATAATTGTAAAACCTTGATATTTGTCCCACCAGATTAAATCACATCCGGCACAAATGCAAACAATTATTAGAATTATTCCACATAAAAACAGAAAACGCCATTTGGAAACAAAAAGTGGGTATTTCCGAAAGAGTGTTCTTGAATTTAAATCATCGATAAGGGCGTTGTAATGCTGAGTGCACTGAAAATATAATTTGAATTGCTTTAAAAAGAATCAGAGCCTTTCATTACTACTCTTAAATAATTATTGGCCAAATAACACTTTCTTTTAAAAGGATATTATTTGATATCGACTGCACATCTCTCTTCTCATAAACCCTTGGCCTACGGTGTTGAAAAAGGTTGGGATTTTTTGTCTTTAATTGTGATTGGAATGGATCGACATCTTTTGACCAATCGGCTTTATTTAGGAGATAAAGTCTGCTTTTTTGTGAATGTTGCAGAATCACCTTCGAGGTCGAGAAATGTTGTTTGAAAGATAAAAGCCGAGGCGTTAGCCGAGCCTTTTATTTTTCAAACAACATTTCGAGACCGAGGAGGTTATGTTGCATTATTCACGACAACAAGGACTTTATTTCTATTCTACTACATGTACTAGCAGCTCTCCAATACGACTGATCCTTTCTCTATAGAGAAACGAATTAGATCACCATGCTACGATAACGCTGTTTAATTTAACAGCAGAGTGCAAATTTGTTTGTTTACCTGTGATTAGAAGGCAGACGGGTTGTGCTTTCGCCGCATTAAAATTAGCCTTTAATTAATTATAAATATGTTTGTAGATAATTTAGATTCATCTTTTTGAATATACAATTACAAAATCAGTTTCCTATTTTACCACTTTATTACTCAATTCGCAGAGTTTAAACATTGCGTAGGGAGGTCCGTGAACAGCCCCGCTTAGCTTTAGAAACTTACATTCATCAACCACTTTCTGCAATATACAGTGTTAAAAATTGCAAAAAACGACACATAGATGTGGTTTATTCTTAAGTCAAATGTACATTTCAACTGCATATGTTTCAAACATGTTTCTGATCTGATAATATTTCGATGACGTTCGTGATTTATTGGAGAATAATGTCCACTGCATTTCTTTGATCTCGGCAATAATCGTAGAAGTTTTGGTAAATGACGATATCTGTGTTGAAGATATATTTCTTGATTGTTCAATCTCGGGAAATAATCTCTGTCGATGACGCGTTCTGTGCGTTCCTGGTGATTCCAGAGCACGAGACGAAAACAATCCTTTCTTTTAACAGCACCATAGGCCAAGGATTAATGAGGAAAGTAGCATATCAGATACCCTTGGCTCGAATATGAATATGACAGACAACTTAAAGTTTTAATTGAAACATGAGCATGGAGCTTGCTAATACCTCCATAGGATCCAGGTCAAAAGAGGCGATTTTCTCTTTTTCGTGATCTTCCAGTGGATGAAATCTGTAAGAGTTGCCATGGACAAAAAATTTTGCTTTTGAGGCAAACTTTTGACAAAGAAAGGCTCCATTATAAGTTTGAATGGCAACATTTTCCACTATGAATAGAAAAGTTTGTTTCTTTTTAAATTCAGTACGACATATATTTAGTACATGCATGTATAGATAGAGTTAAATATAAGGCATTTATTTTCAAGTTTCCGTTTTTTCTCTATATATAACAGAATTTAACAACTCAACTGATATACAGAGTTTAAAAACTCAACTGATATACGGTTATTACTGTCAGTTAAAGGAAAATAGAAGGCAACAATCTCAAACTCACCATTACGTTTTTTATGCAATGGATCAACACAATCTGAAGTGAAATATATAAATTTTAATATACATGTATAATCATAATAATTCAAACATTTTACTACATCTGTGTACAGGCATGCATTAATAGGTTTTAATACAGAGTATACGTATTCTTTTATTGTTTTATCTTGATTAAAACATATTAGACATTATTAATACAAGTTTGTATGTGAAAAATGTAAAAAAATGTTTGGTTGCCCTCTCCCGACCCACCTATCTACGGACATATTTTATACATCCTGTGTCGGACAAACAAACATTATTTTAAAGTTGCCTTAGCCTTAAGCTTACAAGACTTACAGAAAAATATAGGATATGAGATTGTGTGATAACGAACAATATTCAATTTCAAAGTCCATAAAACAATACAAAATAGGAGCAGAGCAAACATGAACCTCCGAAACATCAAAGGCGGGATGGAGGAGTGAGCATCCCCTGCTGACCGGTCACACCCGCCGGGTGCTCCTTGTCATGATCAGAAAATAACGGGAAAATCCCCCGTCAATTCAGTGTAAATAAATGACTAACAATAAGTATGAAAATCGCCGGTCAGCATTTGACTCAATTATAAATTGTATTTGCTGACAAGGTCATTGTATCGACCATAGAAACTTTAAAAGAGACTGCTGATATTCTTGTTTGATCAACTTGCTTGTCAATAATTTACCTCGTTTAAGAAATTGTTTATACGTAGAGCATGCGTTTGCGTAACGAATCAACTGAGGTATATATACTCCGTATGCAGGTGATGACGGTATATTGCTGCATAAATAAGGGAAGTTGATGATAGAAAAGTTAAATTCATCACGTTTATCATATATAGCTTGGTTGTTAGATTACTATTATCGTCTTTTTCAAGTTAAATATCCAAGTATGAAACAGATGTGTCAGACTCTGTGATATCTTTTATCTCAAGCTCACTAGGATATATCGTGTAGACGTAGGAATGGAAATTACTATTGTTGATAGACAATACGCCGTCGATATATCTAAATGTCGAGTTGAAGGCCACAGCAAGTGTTTTCTTCTTTTCACGCATAAGATTTTGCACATTCTGCTTCATAGGTCTGCTAATAACGGAGCGCAATTTGTATCATGGGACTTACAATAGTTTTTTGGAATACCTGATGAAGAGAATGTTGTAGGACACAAAGATAAAGCTAGAGAGGAAGCCCTGCCAAAAGAAAGCTAATGGTAAAATAGGAAAAGAAAGCTTCAAAATTTGGTCACCTACACCTTAATTACATTTATTAATTTATTTGCATAAAAGGAATTAAAATGTAGACAACAGTTGTTTTTTAATAATTCAGATAGAAATAATATAAAACCTGTATATCCCACATTTACGACGATTTAATACATTATGATGGTTTTTAAACAGAGTTCTCAAAAAAGAATAAATAACTTGTTAAATAAGTTTTATATGATCAAAAGAGGTTTTTATGAGAGTTTCAAAATGCAAATTAGTTTAATCCAGTCCCCTTACCAATAATAAGAAAAGCAATTTAAAAAATTGTCTATCCAGAAATTATTATCATTGAAAATAATCTAGCTATTACTTTATCAATTTTTATTTCTTTTCATAAAATCTGTATAATCTAAGATCTATCCAATGAATCAGCCGACAGTAATTACACACTGAGGGGAATTATTACACCAAACCCGATTTCTCCCACACGTACACCACCAAAGTTTGACCCCCACGAAAAAATGTGACTTTAAAGTATTGAGTTCATCTAAATGCTAAGGATTTCTTGAATTGAACAAGGAAATGGAGAGATATTGTTAGGAGAGAATATGGAAGGAAAGGGAATATAACTTGCCTTTTTACCAACCCAAACGATCGGAGGTAAGATTGAACATGCACCGTGAAAATGACCACATACAAAGTTGTGAAAATAAAAATAGAAACATTTACCTGGATTCAGATACGCCTCGTATATTTTTGCTGGAACGTCAATCTCTTTTTGTGCGTCGATATAAACGTAGGACTTCAAAAAGGGAGGTACATCTAAATCTTTTCCCAAAGACCGAAGAAGTAACGGAATCACGTTAACATCGGATGAACCCGTGAAGGACAATTGAGCTGCTTCGCGTGCTTCAGTCACGCACCAGTGACTCTGTACATAGTTTGGACTCAAAATTATAAGAACTTTAACACTTTTGCGCATATTGTCTGCAATGTTGTCGTCAATATTTTTCCCGGGCACGAAATCCCTCTCAAAGTTCATACATTTCATATGAAACCTTTGTTCCATACACTCACAGATTTTGTTTGCATCACCCCGATCCTCTGAATTATAAGATATAAATAAATGATACTTTTTGTCCGCCTGCAGAGGTAAAACTCTTTGTTCACTGACATTCTCCTCTTGATACAGATATGGTATAGGAATAGACAGCTCGTTTTCAGATTCACTGCCAGATATGCCATCATCAACGTTGCTCGACATCAGAGGCAATCTATCTGCTGCCATGGCGTCTCTTTTAAAGCTAAGTGATCTCCTTTTCCTTTCAGTAGCCTGTGCACATTGAATTGTAGAACCTTAAAAAACAACACTATTTAAGATTTTTAAATATCTTTCATCTTATATTACTTAAGACTGCATTGAATTTTGATATATTCATAGTAGGGATGGCAATTTTAACCGGTTAATCGATCGGAACAATGCTAATAAGTTAGAGAATCCGTAATCGGTTAGTTGAAAAAATAAAATATATGTTAATTTGAACGCAGTTTCCTTAAAATCTCTTCTTTTATTTTTATTTAGAAAGGAAAGCGGTGCATTGATTTTTACGAGGGTTGTCCAAAATGTTCGTGGACAATGACGTTTTTGTTAAAATAAATGGTTCTATCTGCATCTATTGTATATCAAAATATTTCTCATGAAAAATAAGTCAGAATGACTTAATTTTTATTGATGAAAATTAATATTTTTGTAAAAGTTGGGGTCTTTAAAGATCGCAGATTGTGCGCACGGACCAGTCTGACGTTACGCTAATTTCATTATAACGTCAAACATTTGGATTTTGACTAAACACATGTTCATGGACACACACAAGATTTTTTTTTAAGGCGCAACGCAGTTCGAATGCTAGCAACAATCTTTAAGTATAAATTATAATTCATTTAATTTTCAAAATTCAAAACAATACAAACAAATTTACGAGCGTCATCTAAATTAACAGTTTGTATACCCAAACGGAACAGCCCAGTCCGACGCTGCGCTAGATTTATAAAAACGTCATGAATAGAAATCTCCATTTACAGTTAATTACATGTGTTTTTAAATTCTTGTAGTGTCTTTGAATTTGTACACACTGTTGAAAAATCGTATATTCTAATCCCAAATCGATACATTCAATACATTTCAATAATTTTGAGTTGTTTTAACAAACATTTTGTCTCTTACATCGTTTCAACCGTTATAAAACTGTTATGACCGGACGCTGCCCCGTGCCGATGGACGACGTCGCTTTTTCTGTTGAGTTTTGACACGTACTTGCTAAGGTTTTCTTTGTGTATTTTTGTTGTCTATATAGTTAGCGATATTTAAGATATCATAAAATGACAATAACATCTTTATTTGTGTAACATAAAATTTTTATTAATTTTTGACTTGTTTTATGTAGAAAATATTCATTTAAATCCTAACTCTTTATATCAGAGTTTACATCATTTTAACCTTGGTCCGTGCGCACTCTAAAGACCCCCAATTTTTACAAAAATATTACGTTCCATCGATAAAAACTAAATCATTCTGACTTGTTTTTTTTCAAAAAAATATTTTGATATACAACAGATTTATATAGAACCATTTATTTTCACAAAATATTCACGAACTTTTTGGACAACCCTCGTATTTACTATCAATTTTAAACATCGTATTATTAAGAATATTCAGAGGTAATTATAGCACTCCAGACTGAGATCGCAGGATAATTGGTCAATATGTAAAGTGTTAATGACTGTTTTTATAACATCATGCCATTACCCAGATATTTCTATGTATTTTTAAAGATATCAAAAACATAACCGTTAAGCACTTTTAATTACAGTACTTATGTCTATGAAATTACGAGGGACTTCAATAAATGATGTCATTAACTCGATGACATACAACATAGTAGTCAAATGACATAAAGCTTGAATTTCTCTCATTATTGAATCTTTAATGAATTGACAACAGTTTGTATGACCACTTTTCATCGCATTATTTCATCGTGGGAAGCTGGAAAACAATGGCTATTCGAGACACTGCATTAAAAATGAATAGTCAAGAATCAGTAAACTAGAGTAAAATTAAACGCTTCATTAAAGCAGCTTAAAACTTGTTAATATTCCAAAAATATATGAACTGAAATATGTGAAAGTTACAGCAACCAATGCCTGTTTTATAGACAGGTGAACATGTAAATTTCAGTAAACAAAAATTATATAATAGGCATCAAAAATGGGTACCGTCTTTGGCAAAAATGACTTACAACAACCGATGTAAATTTGCGAAATTTCAACAAATTATCACTGTTTATGTTTTATTGACTTTAAGACACATAGCAAAATTGATAAAAATCATTTTGGGGAATGCTCATACTGATTTAAATAAACTTTTATAGTAAAAAAGTTTAATACTCAAAGGTCAACCTATATTTTGAAAAAGTGTGAAAACGACAGCGTGTAGGAATATCCTAACAAGTCTTTTAAAAAATCAAAAATTGTACTTATCCTCGTTTGTGTGAAATTCTAATAGATAATAATGAAACTTGAATCCATTTTGCTTTAATCCCTCAAAACAAATTTACAATAAGATGCATTTGACAAAACTGCAAGGGCCAAAGAAGAGCAAAGAATTGCAGGAGCATTAAACAGTTTTATATGCTATTTTCTGCAATATTAGCGACCATTTGGGCGTTATAGAATTTGATCACGCGACCGACTTCATTCATATCCCAATGAAACTGTAAAAATGATATCTTATTTCTGAAATATTTACATTTGCTAATGTCTTTCCTTATATGACAATATAAATTAAATTGACATTCAATTTTCAATGACATGCAGTTGGCAAACCGCACAAGAAAAGTAAAATATGAATATAAGAAATAAAATATCATTTTTTCGAGTTTCATTGGGATGTGACATGAAATCGGTACGTGATCAAATCTACTATAACGCCCTTTGTGTGTTATAGAATTTGATCACGTGACCGACTTCATGTCACATCCCAATGAAACTCTAAAAATGATATCTTATTTCTTAAGACGTACTTTCTGGGCTATCATATAAACAATAAAAGCAGTTATTTCTGGTCTGTTTTAGCAAAATATTGAATACAGAAAACTTCAAATTCAATTAAATAAAACAAAACTGGCGACAAACAGGACTGACCAGCTGACATAAAAATGTTTATGCCACCATCGGATCACGCTTGTGAGTTTTAAAAATAGATCGACATTCATAATAAATGAAGCATAAACCAGCTCAGTTTGTATCGTTGTGACCGGGAAAAGAAACGCATCTCAAACTCTTGCCTTATTTGCATCAAATTCATATTAGCCCTATTACTTTCTATTTTCTTCCTCAATCTTTGAACAAACCAGACTGGTGTAAATCGAAGGCGTCGTCGGTCTGCAACTTTCGCTCTGAGCGTTGTCGTTAATGTCAACATTGCCATAGTCAAGGACGAACTATTCTGAAGTAAACTCGTAATTACGATATTTGTTGACTTAAACAACATTTGATAAGTCTTTATTAGTTTATTTATTGATTGTTTAGACAATTTAAGTTGAACTCTATCGAAATTCATCACGATTACGTTCCTTTGCTGTATAAAGTATTCCTACGCCGTATAGATAAAACGGATTGTATGGAGGCCTCAAAGAAAAATAATTAAAATATAAATTTTAAAATTCGTCATCATGGTTATTGGAATTAAATGAAATATTAGGAAAATTTTGATCAAGGCAATAAATTACACCCCCCCCCCTTACCACCACCACCAAAAAAGCAGTGTAGTAAAGCAGGAATTGTGAAATGCACTTACTGAGGATAAACAAATTTCCGTCCTTCAAATCAGTATGAAATTCCTGTTCTGTTAATTCATAAACATCATCGTCCTTCTCACAACCATCCAGCCAATACTGCACCTGTTGTAATATATTTATGTAAGTCAGTTATGTTTATAATGAGGCAAAATATTTTAAAATCTACTTTACTTAAAGACACAGACATGTAACACAAATTAAGACATCATAAATACAAGACATACATATAGTTATAAAGTTTACTTGAAGATTAAATGCTTTACCTTCTTATATAGCTCAAATTTTAACAACGTCACACCACTGGAATGTTATACTTTATTGTAATGAACTCTGTTTTGAAAGGAACAGTTTGAAATAGGAAGAATGTTTACTTATCTAGAGTTTAAAACAATACAAGAATAAAAATATGTTGCTAGTTTTCAACATCATATTATATACACAATTTTTTTTATATTTACTTCTCAAGTAAAGTGTACCAAATGTTTAAGCACTGTTTATCACTCCATACCCCTTTTTAAACACCTTCAATAAGTTAAAAGTACTTTAGAGAAAATAATGAAGGTGATAGGAAGAAAAGTGTATTGTTCTCTGCCACATTTACAAAAATTGATTGCCCTCTCCAGACCAACTGACTAAAAACTTTACATTGATTTCTTTTTTCTTTGTATTTCTTCAATGAAGAAAAATCAAAGATGAATCTGAAAGTAAAATTAATGATAAACATGAACTTATTAATCATTAAAAAAAAACCACTTTTCATTATTGATTTCAAAGAATTATAATAAATCTTACATTTTATGTGTATCAAAGTTTTTTTTGTGTTGTTCTAAATATTGAACAGAAATTACCTTCGAATTTCCCAACTAGGTATATGTACAAGAAATAAACAAACAAGTGAAAGAATATTTACACAATGCCTCAGGCAAGGTTATCAGTGAAAAAAAAGCTTATTGTTGCAAATAATTGTAAATCAGCAATGACATTAAATGAGATTCAATTTACCTTGATTATCCAGCAAAGTCTATTTACACTTCATACTCAAAGCATCCAAATATAACTGGTGAAATATATCTGCAAAAAGATAAAAAGATATATAAGTAACTTTTTTCATATTATATTGAAAGACTATGAAGGAAGGGAGGTAACTCAGTTATAAGAACGGTTGAAACTATTGGGAGGCATAAAATGAATTAAGGAGGATCTCTTCACCTATAAAGTATAACTGTTATTCAACTGATTTTTGTTGCATGCATTTGTTTCTTATAATGGGCACAATATACGATAAAATGAGGTTCCAAAGTATTTCAATTTATTTTTAGAAATATTTTAAAATAGTTTTATTTTGTTAAAACTGCTTTCTGTATTTTAAAAAGCCCAGTGCTTTAAATTTCTCTTCAAAGTTTAATGTTATAGAATATTGAAATAATAACCAACAAAGTTGATAATAAAATCAACATAATTTTTATTTCAATTTTCAAAAGAAGATAAAAGAAAAACT